CAAAACTAGTTATTTGTTAAACCGTGAAAAGTCCTGACCACATTCGAGTTTCCCTCTAATTTAGTTAAAAATACATACATTCCATGAAAACATAAATTAAAAAAATTTGATCAAAATTTTGCGAAATGACAGTTATTCACAGACGTTTGAAATAAAAATTTCAGTCTCGACCAATCAAGAGCTTAGTAGTTCACACTGGCACACTGTTCACACTATATATATATATATATATATATATATATATATATATATATATATATATATATATATATATATATATATATATATCTATATATATATATATATATATATATATATATATATACATATATATATATATATATATATATATATATATATATATATATATATATATGTATATATATATATATATATATATATATATATATATATATATATATATACACGCCCAAAAAAGGCCCAAGGTTTCTCCTACCATCGCTTTCCTGGCAGATTACACGTACACAGCTATTGCCATTGGGACATTTGCTGTATGCAGTTGAAAACGACGGATGTATGTATTTGAATATCATTTTCTTGTCTCATCGGGATGCCACTGTTTTCCAGCGGATTCTGGATTTAAATTATCGAGTGTAGACAAAATGATTCAATATAGCTAAAATTAACATCGAAATGTAGGTTGCTAAAAATATCTTCATACGGAACAGTTTGTAATCATCGTGACTGTGTGTATGACCACGCGGCAGACATTCACGAATGTGTGCAAAGTCGTTTGCTGATCGATTACATTTATTATATATATTTAATAACTATTTCTGAGATAGAGGAAACTTGAAAAGTTAATTTAAATGTATAATAAAGATTACTTTTGCAGGGTATACTATACACTTAATGTATGCCTCCGAGGGAAATAGTGAGTTTTGTTTTCCCAAGAGTCTGAATATTTCTCGAGACGAAGTCGAGGGAAACATTGAGACTCGAGGGAAAACAAAACACACTATTTCTCGAGGTAGTGTACATTAAGTGTTTTGTTATATAGGAACGAAAATATACATTTTACACAACAATTCCATTACAAAAAACACTTTGTTATGACAATATGCGGTTTCCTTGGCGGGAAACATTGCATTTATTTAAAGTCATGTGACTAAGAATGAACCAAACACATTTAAAATACACAGCACCTATATAACAATCACTTTTATTATATCTGTATTGAGATTTATGCACAGCAGAATGATGAAATAAAAATCGTATTTCACTGTGTAAATTAATTTCATGCAATTTGATTGGACGTACGATGTTTTTCACGTGTGAAAAAAATGCCATACACGACTTTTGATTGGACGTACGATATTCTTCACACGTGAAAAATTGTCGTATGTCATTTTGGCGACAATTTGTTCACATTTTTTTCATGGCGTCGAAATATAGGAGTGAGATTCAAATCACAATTCTCGTCTTCAAGATATTTTTACATTCAGCACATTCGCAAATCTTTGAGAAAGAATATCTAACTTCTATTAAACAAAATTACAAAGAAACTGAACGGAAATAAATATGTTGTGATGCATAAAATCTCTATACACATCTAATAAACAACGTACTTCATGGTTGGCTCGTTTGTATGATTTTTATTATGAACTCGTTGTGAGGGATCGCAAACTCTCTCGTTCGCTATATACGCTCACTCGTTAATTCGTTTTGCGATCCTTCATCATAGTTCACAACTCGTGCATACAAATCGTACGGTACTCGCCAACCATGAAGTAATCTCAATATATTCACTGTCCCTCCAAAGTACCCTGTCTGATTGGGAAATGGCTAATTTCGTACTATATTTCCCCGTTGCAGCCGTAACGATATAACTTGTTAAACCGTGAGGTAATCATGCATGTTGTTGTTTTACAGAGATCAACATGTTTTTTCACCAAATATTCCGGCAACAACAAGAACTGTCAGATAACAAAGAAAATCCCATTTGGTGTTGGCAAATCATGATCCTTCTCTTCGACATGATTATGACTAGAGCTCCTAACTTCAATAGAAATGGGATGTATGTCTTTCCAATTTACGTGGCATTGAGTTCACCAATGGCAACAAAAGCTGGTTTTGCTGCATTTCGTAACAACAAGGTGAGCATCGAGGAGAGCATGTGTGTAGTACAATTATATAAATATTATATAATGTCAATAGAAGCTGGGTAACATCAATAGAACCTGGGCTTATTTCAGTAGAAATCGGCCTATGCCAGATTTTTTACATTTAACAAATATATATTCACATTTATATACATTCCTATGATATTCTACACATTATGATATTCGACTTAAGCCGGCTGCCTCTATTAGCTATATAGCATTTTGGTTATCATTAAGGTTGTCTTAATTGTTCAAAAAAGTTCGTCTTGGAAGCAATGAAGATCAGACAAAGGATATCAAACAACACTAAATCTAATCATTTTGCACAAACGTTTTCGCTTTATTGAAAGCTCCTCAGCTAGGTGCTGCATGAATACTTTGTACTCCTACTTAAAGTATTCAGCACCTTATAGGAGCTTTCAATAAAGCGAAAACGTTTGTGCAAAATGATTTGATTTAGTGTTGTTTGATATCCTTTGTCTGTCTGATATGTATATACAGCTACTTGTGTTATCAACCTACACATCTATAGTTGATAGATTATATAGTTGCATGCAGATACAGGCAGCGAAGTATTTTTGGCTTTGTAGCGTATGAAATGTGACTGTTTCCATCACTGCATGGCCATGCAGAATTATTTTTTAGTTACTCTGTATACTATATACAGCGCACTCTATAGTGTGCGGCACATCATAGTATACGGCACATGTATTCTCTAGTGCCGGCTGTGTCGCTTTAAAAATGTTTAGTTTCTCAGTGATTAGGCCTTTAATAGAATAAGAACCGGAAGTTTCTTTCGAGGAACATTGACTAACCTCAGGGAAATCCAGTTATATTAGTCCAGTTATATTATATGAAAATTATAGAGACAGTCTGATCACATCTTAAAAAGGTGCATAACGAAAATTTGCAATTGTTTTCAGGTAAACAAATTATTCAAAGGCATTTTGAATTACTGGGGCGAGTTCCTTTGCAGTCCAGCATCTACCTACGTCTTAAACGATGATGAACATTCAGGTTGGTTTGGTAAAGATGCAATGGAAGTAATGCCAAATTTCGCAGAGGAATTTGAATGTGACTCAAGTAAACTTCACTACGGCTTTACATCCTGGGATGGTTTTTTCGCGAGAAAATATCGAGAAGGAATACGGCCTGTTGAAGCACCAGATGACAATAGTGTTGTAGTGAATGCCTGCGAGTCTGAACCTTTCAAAATTGCCTATGATGTGAAGCAACGAGATTTGTTCTGGATTAAAAGTCAATATTATTCTTTAGGTGAGCAATGATAGATAATGGTATTGCCCGGTCCCAACCTCCTAGCAAGATGTTTATTTCACCCTTCACTCTGACGTAGGGAAAATGTCTTCAAAATCAATATACTGTTTTCTTATAATATACAATCTGATTTTTATGGGTTTTGTCGCGGGAAACGTCGTTGCCGTAGGAAACTTGACGATTTTTTAGTATCTGATAAACTCCTTATTTAAGGAAACATCTTAACAAATGTCTGAAAGACCGAGTTAGGCCTTGGTCTGACCTCGGTTCAACCGCGATCAGACCGAGTTTTGACCTAGGTTAATGGTGGTTTTTGTTGGGTTACTTCTGGACAGTTCTGTAGCCTAAATTGTCAAATAGCTAGGCATCCGCGATTGCATTCTACCGGGTAGATAAAACTATAATAGCAACAACCGAGCCAACCACAAATATCCCGGCATAGCATAATAAACCTTTTACATGAACAGAGTGTACGTTTATAACAATTCATCATTTTTGTCTAGTGAAACACATTTAGGTTATTTCTGGACAGTACTGTAGTTTAAATATTTATTACTTTTAGATCACATGTTGAACGACGATGAGCTGGCTAAAAAATTTTATGGTGGAACAGTGTACCAAGCCTATTTGACCGCATTCAACTACCATCGATGGCACAGTCCTGTTTCGGGCTATGTTGTGAAAACCGAGTTGGTGGACGGTTCATATTATAGCCAAACACACCATCTTCCAAGTGATGCCACTATGACTCAATACCAGGGCTATCTCTGCCATGTCGCTGCCCGTGGTATTATTTATATAAAGGCTGATAATCCTGATGTTGGTCTGATGGTTTTCATTTCAGTAGGTATGGCTGAAGTCTCCAGCAACGAAATTACCGTGAAAGTTGGCGATCACGTCAAAAAGGGAGATGAAATTGGTACTTTCCATTTTGGTGGCTCGAGTTATTGCCTCGTTTTCCAACCTTGGGTAAAAATTATGTTTGATATACATGCTGATACATCTAGAGGGTCTAATACGCTGTCCAGTATTCCAGTTAAATCAAAAATTGCCGTGGTCAGTAAGGAAGAAATGTAATAAAAAATAAAAAAAGCCAAAATAGAACCCAATATAAAACTCTGTCATTTGTAACGCGCCTTGCCGTACCAGCCCAGTGTCGGACAGTCTGGTAATACATTTATTTATCTAGACCCCCTTGTTGTGAATTTAAATCCACCTGATAAGTGTAGCAAGCACTGCTTGTTATACGAAACAAATTTGTAGTGAATAAAATCATATATGAAGTAAACCAAGTTTATTGTATTTTTTTCTCGTCTTAAAACAGGGTGTATCAGAAAAAACTAGAGGGTTTTAAAATGTTCAACGTATCATTTTATCAAAATATCCCAAAGGTGTATTTTAGCATCTTCTGGCTTATCTAACAGTAAAAACTAGCAGAAAAGTTACTTCGAAAAGCGGGAGAACGGTTTGTAAAAGCCTCATTTTTAACCGCTATATAGTGCAAAGAAAACAAGAGGTTGAAAATCCAATTTCATTTAAAGATCTAGAGGTGAAAGTTTGGGCTATTTTGTGCAATGTATCACAATTTAAGAAAATGGTTTGAACACTTTCGCATTAATTAACCACGTCCTGTTGATTGTACACATGGGAATTGTCAAATTCCAGCCACAAGTTCGCCGCTAATTTGACTTTCAAAAGTGTCAGTTTTTTTACTCACCCTGTATAACAAGCAGTGCTTAATTGCCACAGTCTTCATATGAATATTTTTTAAGGATATAACTGATTTAAGGTATTTTCAAATGCATAAACATTTTATACTTTTACATTGAAGACAGAACAACATATTTCGTATTGGCAATAACGGTATGGTCATTTTAATGGCATGATATATGCAGTTTAATTTCAATCTTCTGTGGGACGAGTGGGAAAATTATCGATATTCAATCGGTTGTAACGTTCCCTAACACAAGTTAAAAGTATTGTGGTGGCAGATATCGTTACCAAGATTACCCACGTCATCCAAGTCCCTCCAAAATGACCCATCGATACAATTAAAAATATGGCTTGAAGAGAGTAATCTGTGAATTTAATGACAGAGCTTGTTAGTCCCTCAGCAACCGGGTACGCCATTTCTGCTCCCAATTCAAAAAAGAAAGGTAGAGCCCCATTTACAAAAAATCCAGTTAAACCAAACATAACACAGATTAGTGCTTTGTTGAATGCGATGACTTTGGAGAATATAAAACATACAATGAGGATGGAAAATGTCGCACAGGCCATAAAAATCAAAAGAAATTGCTTTAAATGTCCCGAAAAGCGGTCGGCGAATCTGAAAAGAAAGCATTGTTATTTACTGCTAATTATTGTAATTTTTTTAAAAAGTATTTTTGGGAAACAATAAGAACCTCTGTGTTGAAATGGTTATCTCTCATTCGTTCGCTGGGTTCGTAAGAAATATTGTTAAACACTTTAAATGAAATTTCCCAAAACCAACCATTGTTTATATGTTCAACTAGAGTGAATGTGCTATGGAAAATTTTGAAAAGTAAAATATTTTTCATTCAATATACAGTAGGAGGCAAAAGTTTGAGTCCAGTCGTTGTAGAATTCCAGTATTAAATCCTGGCAGCGTATTGGAGTTAAGACATGCGTGCTAGTGTTTCAGTACTGTAAACTATATTAATTGCACACTGTTTTGGTCCTAATGATCTAAATTATAACAAAATAACGTTCTCATTCCTTTACACTGCCCAAGATGGGTAGGAAAAAGGGCAAAGTGATGGTGCACAAGGACAAATAGTTCCATTAAGTATTGAAGGATTCTTTCCTCGTAAGATCGCAGAAGAAGTGAGAATTTAAAAAGGTGGTATGCAACTAACCTTGGAGAGGTTCGAAGAAACTAAATCCTACTCAAGCAAACTTTTAGCTGCTTTGGTCATGCTCGGTTTGGCAATATTGAAAGATATAATAGGATCCTAATTAAAGAAAAGTATCATCCAATTCTTCAAGGACATGGAATTTCATCTGGTACAAAGATGATCGCACGTCTAACTACATGATAATCACCCTAAGCACATGCACATCTTCTATGTGCCAGAAATCGTTTAGAAGCAAACTCATTCTGGTGATCTCGTTGTCATGGCTTTCCACCTCATATTCCAGATCTAAAACCTATGGAGCACTTGTAGAACCGTTTTAACCGGAAGAGGGCGAGGCACAGACCCGCCAGCCAGGCTGACTTGAGGCAAGTGGTCAACGAATGCTGGCAAGGTATTGAACGTGTGACATTAAAAAACCTATGGAATCTATGCGAGCAAGAATAAAGGTCATTTCAAGAGCAAAAAAGAGGGAACTAAGCAATGACATGTAAATGCATGTTTGCACATTAAAATACGTAAAAATGAATATCATAACATCTCATAGTTGTTGTACAGCATGTATTTTTCTGTTTACTTGTTTACTTTTTTCTAGTTCACTTATCGGTAAGGTTTTCTGTAGAATATTAATATATGCTGCTGAAACAAAGAAATACAGTCACTGGACTCAAACTTTTGCCTCCTACTGTATATACACACGGTTTAAAATGGAAAGTAGTTTTGTGGCGACTATTTTAAACACAAAGGTTACGTAACGCGTACATGTGCATAGCTAGTCAAAATTATTGCTTTTCAGGTGTTCGTTGGATGACCAGTAGACTGCGACTCCAGTTGTTCATATAGATGTAGCTAAGACAGTGCTTTTATCACCGCACGTATAATAGTTAATATCGATTAGCTAGCAATTTTTAAATTTAAAGGTAAGTAAGTTATCTTTTATACAAAGAACTCTCAAATGCCTTAGTGTGCGTAATCTCTCAAGGCATATACATACATTCACAAGTATGCAATTGTTAAACAAATCATATGGCTACTCACTGGTGTACCACAAGGAGGGTAGCCATGCAACTGTATGCCGTAGCTGTAATGCATGCATGGAAAGAGAAATGAGAGAACTTTTATTACGGATGTTTAATTTGAAGAGCTTATACAAACAATACGTCGATTGTATTGCATTGAGAAGTGCTTGACGTGCTCTATAGAATTGACGAATTATTAATTCAAATTTGTAGGTTTAGCGAAATGTCGAAAGAAAAACGCCGAAAGTGTCACAGTTCAATGCAAGTTATTATTAGCGATCATGCGGTGATGATAAGAAAATTACACGTAAAAACTTTGTATAATAATACCAATAACTTTATAAAGAAGACAATCTTTCTGAAAATTTCGGAAAAAAATCTTTCCCCACTACCCCAAAACAGGATCGTTGCTAAAAGCGTAATTGGAAGAGGGTATTGTATTGATATATTTGTCTTATGTCCGACTGGTTTCTTTTGATAACGATGTTTTTATACCCTTATTTGAACTTGCCATATATGAATATATATACACCTGCGAATTAAGCTCGTATAGCGTCGGCCCAGTTCAAACTAACTGAAGTACAATAAAATCCTGACTTACATGGAAAAGAATATCCCGGACGACGCTCCACTCACAACAGCAATAAATCCCAGCCAACCAGCAAATTTTTGACCGACGCCAAATCCCTCTAAAAGTTGGTCTAGTACAGACACCCAGCCACTGTAGACACCACAACTTGCGCCGTATAGTATAGCTAACAACACAAAACTGTGATTCTTCAGTAATTTTATAATTCCACTTTTGGTATCCATTCTTTCGACACCCGAAGATCGACTAGGTGGTTGAGGTGGCCTGGCGGGATAATAAATGATAACAGCTAAAAATAGGAGACCCATTGCAATAGATTCGACCAAAAACATAGTCCTTATTTGTCTGTAATAGAATTCTCTTTCCGTAGAATTCAGTTGACTGTAGGATATAGACCCAACATCATCAACGAACAGTGGGCCAATAATAAATGACAAAGCGAAGCCGGCAAAGCTACCAGCCATCAAAATTGAGGTTGCTGTTGTGCGCTCGTTGCTTGGAAACCACGTTGCTGACAACAACACCGGACCGGACAGCGGTATAGGTGCAGTAAGACAACCCAATGCCTGGCCAAAGCATATCAGTATTGTTGATATCAGCCAATCACCTCCGGTAGGAATGCACCTTAATGCTGAGCCAAAGAATTGAAATCCTGCGGCAAGGAGCACAGCGGTTCTTAAACCTTTTAAAAAAAGTAGAACACATAAATAGAAAGAAAATAATAGAACAAATACATATATGACCATGGGACATACGACTCATATAAGACTCATATAATTACGATAGATCATAACCATATTAAGTCTTTTAATATAAAATATTAGTTGGCTGGATGCGCCTGCGCTCATCAAAGTAGCTCCACAAGACTCGCAATGGAAGCACTTAGTGTAAATTTGAGCCTAGCTGAGATGAACATATGAGCTGAACATAAAAATATATCGATTTATTAAGCATGTCATTTTGATTCCATTTAATTAAAAAGTAGCCAAGTTTTCTTTAATAGTTTTCTTAATAAATAAATACTTTCTTAAAGTGAAAGGGGGGGGGGGGCAGTCCCCCCAGAGATTTAATCTCCCAAGCCCCCCCCCCGCCCTCTTCTACAGCACTGTCTAAAACTCTCATAGGTCTTCAATTATTCGTTTCTTTTCAATCACCCATTGTATTTATAGCGGCCGTCGTCGTGTTCCCGACCTATATCCTTAAGTTCCCTAATAGTCCGATAATAATACGGAAAGGTATAGCTTTTAATAGCTTTCTATAAACAAATATCGAATTTCGTACTGCATACAGAACATTTTAAACACTATGAGTAGTTACGACTCTCTTGGACATAAAAATTATGCAAGATTAGTTTTAGATCACGAACTTGACCAGCTTTTAAGTTCTCGCAAGAAAGTCGCATCGGTTATATGCATACAACAAATGAGGGACCTGTCCCAAAATTGCCTAAAATTTGACGCAGATTCAAATTCATTTAGACCATATTTATCATACTAAGACATTTCGATGCATATTTGCCTTCCGCTCACACTAATACGCTCGAAAACGATAAACGTTTTCACCGTTTTTATCAATTTGAAAACGCTGTTGAGAGTGGAGCCAAATGAAAACATAGACATATGAATGTGGATGGTCGAAAACGGAAACTTTTGTAAACGATGACGTCAAACGTATCAAATTTCCAATTTTCTAATGGGCGCCAAATTGCAAAATGGCAGACGGACGACAACATGTTTGTTTTAATGTTGCTTCCAAGCTTAATGCAATATCGCTTGTTTAGAACATTGGGCAATGATTTCCTACTGATTTCCCACAAGGACATTAGCTCTGTCGAAGTCAGGTGTGTTAAAATTCATGCTAAAGAGCATAAATGTCCAATACTGACGATCGGTATCCGATCGACAAACCACTCTTACAGATGGTACGGATGGATCGACCGGACAATCTTGCTCACCGTCGGACACTATTTTGCCGTTGCCCGAAAACAAATAAAGGCCTGCTGCGAGGGTTACTGCGCGCGTGTCTCGCGTGGTAGTGCACGTTCAATGTGCGGCGTGTGAATGTCGAATAGTCTGATCGATCGATCCGATCCATTCGACAAACATCTTTACCGTCCGACAATTTTTTTACCGATGGCAAAAATGGGAAGCAAACGCCAATGAGTGTGAGCTTAGAAGTATTACATACAACCATGTTGCCTCGTTTTTTAGAAACCTTATTATAATTTTACATGCCAAACAAGCTTAGTACATGAATTATAACATCAAACTGGATTATTCTAAACTGTAATATATAATATAAGAATGTATATAAATATATATTGCCTCGTTCTTCAGAAACCTCATCATAATTTTACATGCCAAACAAGCTTAGTACATGAATTAGTAAAATGAAGTTTAGAAAACGAATTGTATTACATACATCCATGTTGCCTCGTTCTTTAGAAACCTTGTCATAATTTTACATGCCAAACAAGCTTATATAGTGCATAAATTATAAGTGAAATTAAGCTTAGAACACGAATTGTATTACATACAATTGTATTACATACAACCATGTTGCCTCGTTCTCTAGAAACCTTATCATAATTTACATGCCAAACATGATTAGTATATGAATTATAACATGAAACAGGAGTATTATGATTTTAAATATGCCAATAGCAATGACAATGAAGCTTAGAACACGAATTGTATTACATGCAACTATGTTGCCTCTCATCATTACTGAGGCATAGCCTCTCTACCCAGTCTCTATTTTTCAACCGTTTCCTTTTCAAATGACGTCATTTTGCCATCGGTAAAATTTTTCTTCGACCGTAAGCACATTTGTCCGATGGATCCAATCGATCGATCGGACCGTCTGACATTTCCACCAGCTTTCACTGAGGCATAGCCTCTCTACCCAGTCTCCATTTTTCAACCGTTTGCTTTTCAAATGACGTCATTTTGCCATCGGTAAAATTTTTCTCCGACCGTAAGCACATTTGTCCGATGGATCCGATCGATCGATCGATCGGACCGTCTGACATTTTCACCAGCTTTCACTGAGGCATAGCCTCTCTACCCAGTCTGTATTTTTCAACCGTTTGCTTTTCAAATGACTTCATTTTGCCATCGGTAAAATTTTTCTCCGACCGTAAGCACATTTGTTCGATGGATCCGATCGATCGATCGGACCGTCTGACATTTCCACCAGCTTTCACTGAGGCATAGCCTCTCTACCCAGTCTCTATTTTTCAACCGTTTGCTTTTCAAATGACGTCATTTTGCCATCGGTAAAATTTTTCTCCGACCGTAAGCATATTTGTTCGATGGATCCGATCGATCGATCCGATCGGACCTGTTTGTCTTTGAAAAATGGACACTTAGAAAAAAAATTGCTTTAAAATATATTGGTCCAGCTTTTCATGCATGACTGTTGTAATAGTCTGGATGTCATAAATGACATTATGCTGTATTTGTTTACGTGTATACATCCATCGGACAAACTCTTTCCGACGGTAAGCAAGTTTGTCCATCGGATCGATCGGTAGCACATGTATGATGGATTTCTCCATCGGACACCGATCGCGGGTATTGGACATCAATCCTAAAGAGCGGCTTCGATTTACTATTGCTAGAAGTCTGGGAGGACGGAGCAATATTTTATGCGAGTCAACGACAACGTGTTTACAATAAGATTATAAAGGCCCGTTTACACTTGCGATTTTCTTCTTTTGATAGATGTAAACGATCGAGTGAATTAGTTATCGATGTTCAAGTAAGAGCTCTTATACATCAGAGCATTCGTAACTAGTAACTCATTCACATCTATCAAAAGAAGAAAATCGCAAATAAAATCCCAACAAAAATTGGAATTATGAACCCGGCGTTCATAATAAGGCCCGGCGCCTTATTTAATATTTAGTGCGCGGCAGTCGAGCATGCGCATATTTCTGCTTTACATGCATGACGTCTGGAGTGCATATAGAAGACTAGCGATTGGACAAAAATAATAGATTTTTGTCGTAAACATTAGCTCGAATTCTTCCGTATATATCTTAGAGTTAGAATAACTAGTCACACAATCCTTTACCTAAGCGTTTAATCATAAACTTGACTCAATCTTAGTACTACAATAGACTTACAGAACTCACTCAAATCGCAATTTTTACTTTCTCCGTCTCTTATACTTCTGTTTTATCAGTCTCTCTCTCTCTCTCTCTGAACGCACGTTCTCTCTCTATTTTTTCATTGACTGACAGACTTCCAAAATAAAAAGTCAATTTTAAAAACTTTATGTCCTAAGGAAAGGTTTATTTTCTTATAAGTCTATGAAATTTTCATATACATCACGTCGTTAATCGTAAATATTGAAATGCTTTGGTGTATTTGCGCCGGAATATTATTAAATTTATTTATTTTAAATATCAAAAATGATTAATTAAAGATGTTTCGGTGGAGACGTGTGGTTAAAAAATGATTTTCAAATAAGGTGATGCGAAGTTTGAACCATACAAACAAACGGGATCAACGTTACCGGTTACAAAACGGTCATTCTAGCCTAGTTTCTACCGAGTATGAACTACCGAGTTCATACCTAGTATGCTTTTTACATATTTACAGCAATAGGTGTAATGAGTTGATGAAATCCAAAAATGCCAAAAATAAATGTCAAAAAGAAGGATTTAAAGCATTTATAGAATACCTGGCCATGCAACAAACTCTTAACCTTGAATACCATATAGGACTACATATATGCTACTTTAGTGCATCAATTGGACTTTTACATTGGGGCAAAACATTTTTTAAAGCTTGGAATTTGGCTTTTCAAATGCAAAAACTATTGATAACAAGTGTAAAGTGTAAACCATCGTGGCATTTAATACTACACAAATACTACACACAGACCTTTTTTACAGGAGAGAACTGCACCAAATTGCACAGTGGATAATATGGCAAAGAGTAACTTCAATTTTGAAAATATATAATATCATTTTTTTATCAATCAGCAGAGGGCAGATCCTAGCCTTTCCTGCATTTTGATTGGCTGCAGCAGCGGACGCGGAATTTTACAATATATGACCAAATGACCTGACCACGGTCCGGATTCCGAAATCCTATATTTTATGCTCCAGCGAAATTGCGAAAGCGTGTTTTGTTTTCTTTTTCTGAAAATTTATTCTCAAACGTTTGACCTTTTTTATTTGATTGGCTGTAGCAGCGGGCTGAATATTACGAAAGCTTGGAATCCTATATTCGAGCGAATGCGTATTTGTTTTGTTTTCAGTAAAGATTTATCCGCAAACTTTTGACTCTTTTATTTTAAAATATACGGACCAAATGATTATCACGATAAATTGAAGTGAATTTTAGTAAATTAAACGAACGAGGTTTTGATTGTTTATGTTTTTGTCACCAAGTGCTGCTAAGTCTGACTATATACAAAATTACAGTACGACCGAACGCTGCTTTTTGTAAAAAATTAAATACGTTATTCACCGTTTTGGTCGGTCCAGAAAGAAAAAATATTTCCCCTCGGGAAAATGGTTTTCTATACTGACCTCGCAGCCCAGAGCTCGCAGCCGGTAAATAACATATATTTCTTAAATTTAAAACATGAAGTGAATGCATGCATAAAAGGTCCATGTAGTGTAAATTTATCATCAATTTTTGTTTTTTAATTTTTTTTGTTCAACTAGTTGATTAATCCTAGACAACATACAAGTGTTATATTATATCGACATGTGCAAATAGTCAACTTAGCTACATCACTTGGCAATATCACTTGGTGATGTATGGAATGTATTCTGGAATATGGAATATATCTCTTATTGACAAATTGGGCAGTTGATCTGATATTTTCAATTGCTTTGAAAGCATTGCTAAGGAGATGCCCTGCCAGTTTGCAAAAAGGTTGCAAAATATAAAATAAGTAATTTTTGTCAAAAAACCATGTGCATTAATTCTGAATGTATATTCTTATTCAAGCATGCATGTGGCTTCCATCTCTATTAGAATCCTCATGGTATGAGAGGTAACCCTGATGTAACTATTGATCACCAAAATATTAACTTTCTTTTAACTAGTTTTATCTTGAAATCGATAACTTATATTGAGAAAATCACTAAAAATCCCCCAAGTATAAATGTGATATTTAATACACCAGTCAATAATTTACATGAACGTTGATTAAATATTTTACTCTTCGCTAATGTACCTGGTCAGTCATGGATTATTTAATTAGGGATCATATTATATCAAGATTCACCAATCAGTTTTCACTATATTAGCATTGATCAGGATCACACTGTAGATTATATAACTTCTGATACAGCTTCAGAAGTATGTATATTTGACTCAGCTAAAGCTTATACATAAAAATGCATTTTGGTAAGTTAAGTAGATTTTACATTTTGAAGGATGCTATGGGGTAGGATCTGTGTACTTTGGACATATATATCCACAACTAGAAGATGGTGGAAAGGGGCCGGAGTTTAAGGGCACCAGAAGAGAAAAAAATAGAGCCATTAATGTTTGAAAACATAAGCATAGTTACCTTAATTACCTTAAGTTTAATATTACTCAGATATATCATTGGCACAAAATCTTTAATTTTTGTAATTTTAAAAGAAAATGCTTTATTCACTGACCAGTGAAAAGCTCATATGTTGACCAAAATCTTTCTATATTGATTTAAACATTTATTAAATTCGAAGGCTAGACTTTTAAATACGTTATTTATAACACTCAACATCTGATTGTAACAAAGAGTAGTTATGAAATTAGCACACTGTGTAGCAGCAAAATCAAACTGTGGGGATTTAGGTGAGTACGAATTATCCCCTATCACTTTTTCAGGAAAGGATATGGAAGAAATACCGTATAGTGATAATTGAACTACCAAATTATATAGTCTAATTAAAGGTGTACTTAAAAATGGTAGAATTGTGTGCAAATTTAATAGATTAATAGCCTAGAGTCTAAATAGCCTAGGTTAATTGCCTAGCTAGGTATTAAAAATAGATTATAGATATTTATATATAGATCAAATGTATTTGATAAATGTACAGTACCCAGTCAATTTTGATGTCTCCTATATATTTACTAGTATTTTTTTGAAACCTCAGTTGCGCGCAGTTTGCATACTTTCAGGCCTAATTAAATACTACTATATCCACCATGGACACATTATTTGATGAATATATATTCCAGTACCTACCTTTTACGTCCATCAGCCATCCTAGAGGTACAATAGTCAGACATGGTCCAACACATCCTAATGCAGGCATCAAATCGATCATAAAATCATCCCATTTATATACTGCTCTTGCCGTACTCTGTATCGGTGACCATGTGTTATAGATGATACCTTGACCAACAGAAAGCAAGAAAAATAACGATAACATATACCAGCGTTTCTTGTAGACTTTGATATTACTCTGTTCGACATCGTTCAGCAATGGAAAGGTCTCCTGATTTCGCTCTACATTCGTAGTACCTTCCTTCTTGGCGCGGTTTATTACAAGAGCCATAGTTTTGAAATCAACAACCCAAATTTCCTATTCGCGCTTGCTGATAAAAGAACTAAAGGGCGTAAAATTTTGTAACATTAATGTTGTTGCTGAACTGGAGGAACTTCATGCATGATGGAGCGTTGTTAAAAAATGAAGAGTGCAGGAGACCAACAAAAAATAGGTACGCGCGCGTACATCTGACAACCACTTAGCCTACATCACCTGATCAAGTTAGCATGTATCATTAATTTAGCCGGTAGTACTAAAAATACATGCATGCAGCAACCCCTCGCCATTTTAAACGAAGCAAAATATTTCGTGCAGGGCCGTAACTAGAACGATAATTGGGTGGTGTTTATTCATATATTCAGTTCTGCCCGACGGATTTCCATTGTGAGCTATTGCACTGACAAAAGAAATTCGTCGGGCAGAAATGAATATATGAATAAACACCCCCCCAATTATCATTCTAGTTACGGCCCTGATTTCGTGCGCTACCCAGACCTAACTTTCTACGCTAATATTATCAAATGACTCGTGCAAATTTTTCGGAAACAAAGACAGTCGTAAAGGTGAACAGAAATCACCTGTTTGCCTGCTGCATTACGTTGCAGTTTAAAAGAGTGTTAAACTGGAAAACGGGCCTAAGATAATCGAACTAACGTAGAGTGAGGTGGGTGCTGCGTATAATTACATAGCATGTGTGTAAACACACGGCGAAAGTACACATGAAAATAAGCGAAAAGCTAAGCGTGTAAATGTTTTCTACTTTATTATTATAACTACTTGAAATGATGGTTAATAAATATTACTGCACAATTAATTCAGGCGATTCCTCCTTTCTTTTGTCGTACGCCGTTAAGAATATTCTTAAAATAGTAGGACAATAGGTAACCAATGTCATTCATCCACAAGTCCCGTTGGTAATTGCATAAGACTGCAAGTACATCCAACGTCTAAAGCTTATTACCTTGAGGTAACGTATTTTAATTCAAGCTCTAGCAGTAGCAAAGCAAATTTTGTGTAAATAAACGATAATTGAATTTTATTCAATTGCTTAATTTATTCTGAATATAACGTTTCCAATAATAACTACGTCAGTCTACAGACGTGCTGTGTTTTGGGGTAAAATGTATATACAGGGTGTATCAAAAAAAAGGAGACCTTTAGAAATCAAGCTATTGTTAAAATTTGAATGCTTTTTCAATTGCATTTGCACATATGCTAAACCGTAGTGCGTGAAATATTGATGGCATGCATGCATACATTAGAAAAAGGAGACCTTTAGAAAATGAATTGACGTTTGTACACAAGATTGTCTGCTCCTGGGAATTTGAAAATAACTTTAATAGCATAAGGAAAAATAACGACCCAAAAATATTCATTCATTCTAAGCACACTACCAGAACAAAAATGGTTCAACTGACTTCGGAGCAAAGAGTTTTTGTAGTCTTAACTTATACCCAGCCAGCCGGCATCAGAAAAGCAGTTCGCGATATGCACAAGCGTACGGTAGTTTGTGTTGAGAGAAATTGAGGCCACGTTGAAGGACATGGTCTATGACCTTCAGTTCTTTTGATGTTCAATTTATCAGTAATTTTCAATCCGGATTGAAATGTCAAGTGAATCTGTGTCAGATCAAGTTGTAATTCATTCCTGACTCATGTAAACATTTTAACAGGCAGAGTTTGTAAAATGAGATGCTGAGCCATTCCGGATTCAAAGTCAATTTTAACTCATGTGAACAGCCCTAATGCTCGCACGCAGTGTTAAAAATTAATGAACAAATGATTTGTTCGTGTTTTGAAGGAACAGCTAAAGCACTTTTGTGCTCAGTCGTTTGTGCTTAGTCATTTGAATATTTTTGGGTCGTTATTTTTCCTTATGCTATTAAAGTTATTTTCAAATTCCTAGGAGCAGACAATCTTGTGTACAAACGTCAATTCATTTTCTAATGTATGCATGCATGCATCCATCAATATTTCACGCACTACGGTTCAGCATATGAGCAAATGCAATTGAAAAGGCATTCAAATTTTAACAATAGCTTGATTTCTAAAGGTCTTCTTTTTTTTGATACACCCTGTATTGTACCCAGGTGTTAATCGGGCAGAACAATTCTTTTCTTGTCCAAAACTAATCTGTTATACTTTGCTTGTACGAAAAACAATAGTATTGTTGTTGCTGCGCAGGTAACCATGGTAACCCATGTCATCCATTTCGCGCCAAAATGGCCCATGGAAACGATCAGGAACAGAGCTTGAAGAAAATAGTCCATGAACTTTGTCACTGATGACGTGATACCTTCTGCGACTGGGTAAGCAATTTCTGCTCCGAGTTCAAAGAAGAACGGTAGAGATCCATGCACGAAAAATCCTGTGAGAGCAAATACGATGCAAAGTAGAAGTTTACTGAACGGAATTACTTTTGTGAAAATAAGATACATCAGAAGAATTGAGACGGATGCTAAAGCCATGAATACGATCAGGAATTCCTTCAAGTAGCTTGAGAAATGACCAGCAAACCTGAAATATAGGAGAGATAACGGTAGGTACATGTCCTTGGCATATCGCGTCTTATATATGAAAATCCAATACAATAACTTGGCCAAGAGAAAAAAATTGAAAATGGCCTCTCGTTCAGCGCTTAATAAGACAGTCGAACTCGTCATTGATGGTGGTCGTTCTCATCATTTAACTCCGTCCCAGGTTGCTAGAACACGCGTTCACACTCTTATTAACGACAAATATACACAGAAAATAAACCACCCCATAAAATAATTCACATAACTAACCAAAAGGTATTGTCACTGGTTCAATCTGGGAGTTTGCAAACATCGCAAAAAGGAAAGGAGCAAAGTGGTGCAAGGCAGTATTCGAACACATGCATGCAGGAACAATTATTTTTAAACCCATTGACCACTGGACTGCTATGCACCGATAGAAAGCCCAGCAGTTTACCGTTCATATATACTAACGTTTATGTATGTATGTATGTAAAGACATATTGGTGTTCTAACTACCAGGAGCTGTCGAATTAAATGATGACAACGACTATCAATGATGAGTTCGACTGCATGTCTATATACGGAATCGAAATTAGCGGCAAAATTAGCGTAGAGTGAATAACTGATGTCACCTGATGTCAAGTCTAACATAATATAATTGCGTGTGCGTGACCTCCAGGGTTGCCAAATAACTGAAAAAGAAGCCAAACATTGTTGTAGTCGGCCCTTTGCATGATTTCTTTATAAGAAAACATCGATTATGGTAATAATATTTGGCTGATTATTATTTAGTAGTCTGGCAATCCTGGTGACAATTACGCGAAAGATGGAATGCTTCTGGTTCAAGTTACGTTCAAGACCGCGCTCGAATTTGTCCGGCTTTTGCTGTGAACACGTAGAACCGATGATTGTCTCCACGTGATCGAACTATATTGAGCCGGACAAATTTTAGCACGTTCCGAAATTCGAAACTCTTATAAAATTAAAGATTTAATAGATTGATAGGGTTGGATTCTGTTGATGATTTCGTGTGTTTTCTCTGGCATAAAATTAATTATGTAACAACTTAGTCTTGTTTATATAAGAAGCGGAACGGGACGTTTGTCGGGACGGGATTGTGACCGGGATCTCCCCTTTACGATGGCCCACAAGGGTCACAGTTCAGTTCTTATTCTTAGACAGTTCAGTTTTATTTTTTAGCAGTTCAGTTTAAATTTCCATAGTTCAGTTCTCAATTTGACAGTTCAGTTTTACATTTTAACACAGTTCAGTTTTGCTTCACAAACACACAGTTCTGTTTATATTTTGACAGTTCAGTTTTAATTTTTACCAAACAGTTTAGTAAATTTTAACAAACAGTTTAGTTTCAAATTTTATTAACAGTTCAGTTTAACTTTCAGTGCCAAACAATTTTTACACAGACATACGCAGTTTCGTATTTTACCGAAAAGTTCGTTGTTAAATGAGTTGATTATTTTGATCTGATAGTGTGCTATTTGTCCCTACTTTAAATCAGTATTTTATACCTTTATTATGCCTCTAAATGACTACATTCCATGCATGAACGTTGACCGAAGGCATGGACGAGATGAAACTGAGCTAATAACAAGTTATTTTCAACAAGGGTTCACCAACCATGAAATTCTAGAATTTCTTAAGCTTCATGGAATAGAATTCAGCTTATCGACACTTAAAAGAAGATTAAGAATCCTAGGACTTCGAAGACGTGTTCCAGCCGAAGAACAATTGACACAAGAGGAAATCGAGTGTATTGTGGAGATTGAATTAGCTGGCAGTAAATGCAATGTTGGATATCGCAAAATGTGGAAACATATATCAACTAAGTATGGTATTACTGTTCGAAGGGACGTTATTCGAAAATGTTTGGTAAAACTAGATCCTCAAGGAGTGCAAAGTAGAGCAAAGAAAAGGCTTCGAAGAAGAGCTTATTCATCTCGGGGACCCAATCATATATGGCACATAGACGGCCATGATAAGTTGAAACCTTTCGGGTTTAATATACATGGGTGCATTGATGGTTTTTCCAGAAGGTTGATCTGGCTCGAAGTGGGTCCGACTAATAAAAATCCTCAGGTCATTGGTAAATATTACCTTGATGCCGTATTGCAAATTGGAGGTGTACCACAAAGAATGCGGTCTGACGATGGCACTGAGAACAGCATCGTCGAGGCTTTGCAAATATTTCTGCGATCTCAGCATCACGATGAGCATGCTGGTCTTGCCAGTTTTTCAATTGGTACTTCTACGTCAAATCAACGAATAGAAGCCTATTGGTCTCATCTTATTCGGGATGGGCCTGGATGGTGGATAAATTTTTTCAAGGATTTACGAGATTTTGATTTGTTTAATGATTCGGATCCTGTACAAATGGATTTGATAAGGTTTTGTTTTATGGATATACTAAGAAATGAATTACACAAAGTTGCAGAAATGTGGAACCAACATATTATTGCCCCAAGCAAATTTGGAAATAACACTGGACCCAGAGGGAGGCCTGACGTGATGTTTTTTTTGCCGCATCTTTTCGACACAGGGGATTGTAAACAGGAAATTGACCGGGACGAAGTGAATGAATTCTATGATTATTCAATGTCTGTCAAAGATTTCTCTGATGAATTTGGAGAGTTTGCCTCGTTCGTAATGACAGAGCTTGGCCTGACAAAACCAACTAATGCGAAAGAAGCATTTCATCTTTATCTTACTTTGCTACAAAAAATTGAGACGATTAATTAGTTTAATAAATTCAACTGAAACACCAATATGAAACTATACAACAATATACTACAAAGTGTTATTATTTGTATTACTAATATAACCTTACTTAAAAGCGCATGCAGAGAGTAATAACCGTGATCGGGGGTCGGCTATACAAGTAGGAGTTTTTTAAGCACTTAAAAGAAGTTATGTCATATTTTATTCGCATAACACACAGCTCCAGGCCTTACTCACTTATATTTCACTACAGTTAAAAGAAATTCAACTGTGATCTTACATACACTTTTAAAAACAAAAAACCTTAACAATATAAAGCGCGGGGCGGTTAGTTTTTTACCCAACTAAAACTATGCAGTCAATTAATATGAATGGCAACTGAAAAGTACAATGTATCTATAGACTAATCACTTCATAGATTACAGTTAATGCGTCACACATAAGTTCAAAACCTAAACAATGTCAAGTTCCCAGTCAGGTTTGGATAATATATTGTTGAACGTGTTTCGTAATTCACAAAAATCTTGGAATGTGGAAGGCAGCTCTAACACAGGTCCACATGTGTGTGCTATAGGAGATTTATATACCCCATCAAATTTTACAAATGAAACAGTTAAATGTTCCACAATTAAAATATCAGCACCTGTGGTAAAACGAAGAAAATGACCAAGGTTGCATGCATCTAAGCCTCTAATATAACGCTGTAGGAACTTCAGAGCATCTCGTTCTCCCTCGGTATTTGGTTGGGCTTGCAAAAGTTGAAGAACTTTCTTATTTGTTGGCTTTACAGATTCGTAGAGGGCCTCCAACTTATCAAAAGACTGAAATGGTGCATATGCCTTGAGTTTAGAAAGAATGAGCTGCCATGTAGACAACATGATATGAGGTTTCTGGATAAGCTCTTGTTTGGCAATTTCAGTGATCACTTTCAGACAATTGTTTTCATTTATCAGTGTTCTGCAGTTAAATCGCTCCAAAAAGTCCTCAAGATCTTCACTATCATATTCCTGCTTATTAAGGCATTTCTCAATCAACTCTTGTTCATCAACTGAAAGATACTTCTTAAAAGAACTTATCACAGCTGAATCGGGAACTGAATCGCCAAATAGGCAATATCCCATAAATGCCTTTGATAAAATCAGAGGAAAATAAGATACCATCTTGTAACCTAAAACAAGAATTCTACCAATAGCTTGCCATTCACTCACAAAGTGGTCGTGACGTACAAAGGGCACTCTTTCTCTTTCTCCAATAGTCATCGAATCTCCGAACGATTTCCAAAAAAGTGAAAACACGTCACGAGCCACACCAACTCCAGCACCTTTTTCGGGAATTCCACGATCATCAATAATTTCAAAAACTATGGAACTTGTTAGGATGCTCTCATCTTGGAAGTAGCTTACCATATCCTTGCATATACGGGAACGGTGCACTTTAACAACTTGAACTTCCTTTGGACTGGACGGTGGATGAGCAGTATGAAATTCCTGTTCATTTTGTGATTCGTGTTGGTTGGCTATTAAAGTCTCTATATCACCAGGAAAATTTTCATTATCAGGAGGGCTACTGCAGGAATTAATGACTGATTGTAAGGTTTCACCAATCGCAGAAGGTGAAGAGTCATCAAATGGAGTGTCTAGATTGGGTTGAGTCTCATTATTACCATCGAAGGAAACACTTCTTGAAAGGTAAGCAATCCGATGTGTCCTTATTTCATCGAGGTTGGGATAAATAGCTGTACTCTCAGTGGGCTCATCGGCATCTGTTGAATTTCCCATATGTTTCTGTTCATCAAGCTTTAATGAAGCATTATATTCCTCATCCTGTTTGCATCGAAGACAATCTTCACCAGGAAGATTAGTACAAATAGCATTTGGAACACACTATTCTGTACTGTGGACTATTGAACAATGAATCTGGTGGAGGGGAACTTGTAGTCGATGGGGGAAAAATTGTGGTAGATGAATGGAAACTTGTAGTTGATGGGACTAAACTTGTAGTGGATGAAGGAAAACTTGTAGTGGATGGAGGAAAATTTGTAGTGGATGGAGGAAAACCTATTAATGGTGATGGGTGATTTGGAGCTAAGTATTGAGTGGTGGGTGAGGCACCACTTACACCAAGGTCATCACCCTCAAAATCCAGATAAGTGTCACTACTGTCAACGGCTTCTACAATTGCAGAGCCAGTATCTGTCATTTGGGTTAAGCTCTGCTCTTCATCCTCTTCTGGGTGAATAAATACTGTTCTTAAGTATAGATATGTTAAGGAAGGATACAAACCATTCTCATGTAGGTAATCGGCAATCGTACCACCGCTAGGAAACGAATGAATAACTTCACCAGCAGAATTTGTGACTACTTTGGACATATCTTCAAGTAAGCCAAAATGGCTTTTACCTTTTGGAAAGAACAATTCACAAGCTTTGTCCAGAATTTGCCGTAAAGTTAACGGTTGTGAATCCATGTAATTAATATAGCGGTTTCCGCCACCATGCTTTTCGCACAGGAATATATTTGTCTTTATCTTCGTCATAATGCATCCATCGTATTTGTATTCGATGTTGTTTATCTGTTTTAGGCTTTTTCCTGCTTGTGCTGGCCGCTCCTTCGGAGCGGTTTCGTATTCGATGGAGTAGGCCGCTCAAGCGATTTACCGTCCTTTCTGTTTTCTGAGTTGCGACTGGCAATTCTCCCTTACTTTCCGAGCTTTTACTTTCACCTTTCTTAGTTTCTTGCTGTTTTCTAAGCTCCTCGCGTACAGCATCCTTTATTATGGCGTCCATATTTGCGAGCAAAAGATTTGTATTTCGTTCATCGACCCAAATCGGGTATTGTTTACTTAATTGAACTGTTAGGCAAATTTCAAACTGAACTGTTAGATAAAATTTAAAACTGAACTGTTGATAAAATTAAAACTGAACTGCTTAGTGATTTTTAAACTGAACTGTGTGGGAAATTCAAAACTGAACTGTTCAGAGAATTCAAAATTGAAGAAATTCGAAACTGAACTGTGTTAAAATGTAAAACTGAACTGTCAAATTGAGAACTGAACTATGGAAATTTGAAACTGAACTGCTAAAAAATAAAACTGAACTGTCCAAGAATAAGAACTGAACTGTGACCCTTGTGGGCCATCGTACCCCTTGTACATGTTTGTACAATATATTTCGTGCAGTGTTTAGATGAAAGTGGGATGTTTTTTGTCCCGTCCCGCGAGGGCAGAATCCCGTTTTAAGCGGGATGCACGATCTCTCTTGACCGGGAAAATATTACGCTGGCATTGCATTATTTGAACAATGTCACTGAACAATATGGTATTCCCGAATGAAATACCCGATTCTTGCGAGAAACCATCCCCTTCGAAAAACAATCATGTAAACGCGGCATGAAAAAATATGCCGTCCCGCCTCTCATAATAGGGAGCTTTAGCAGTGACTATGAGTACGAGATTCGTCATTCTTGCGCGTTGTTTGTTTACACCATTAGTCAAAACTCGTACTCGTTGAGCTTTCGAGTACGAAATTTATCAAAAAAGTCATACTCAATAGCTCAGCGACTACGAGTTTTGGCTGATAGCGTATGCAAACAACGCGCGAGAATGACGAGTCTCGTACTCGTAGTCACTGCTAAAGCTCCCTATAAACAGGGCCTTAAAAGCTTTTGCGTGCGCGTACGTTCGTGCAAAAAACGCGACAGTGGAAAGCATGCAGCCCTCATGAAGAGATATGAAGAAATAATCCATTATTATGTAACACCCCAATTATTAATTTGTTTATTTAACCTACCCCCCTCCAATCATTTGAATGATCGTCATATTTTTCATGCGATAAAGTGAAAAATACACTGCAGAATGCCTTCAAGTGATTCTCACCACTACAAACATTTCCGCAAAACATACTTTTACCTCGCTCCTTTAATTAACTCATTGCCGTCCGGTCGTAAACGACGCACGCAAAAAATTTCGATTTTATCTGCAAGTATTTTACCAAATCAACTAGAAATTGTATTATCTTAAAGCTAAAACATTTATCTATTTGTGTAAGTTTAGTTCATTTCAAGAGCTTTCCTATAAGCCAAGATATTTATTGCCGATCTTGTACTTTTGAAATTGAATTTTAGAGAAGCGAAAATACGCAAAGCCTTCCAGAAATCTCGCCTAAAAACCTCCAAATGTTTGTAGCTTACATTGTGATCAATATTTCCATCTATTTTGCTTGAAATACAGTCGTTTTGGCGATTTGTAGTGATATTTCCAACAAACGTGTTTACAAACGGAAAATCCGAAAATTTGCATATAATTATCACCATATTGGCGAAAATTTGACAAAAAATCGGAAAATTTTCGCTCCAAAAAGGCCGAATATATGACTTCTAGGGACATTTTTACCCCAGGAATCGATTTCCGGGCTTATTTTACCCCTAGGGGGTAGGCAACGTTGAGTTTTTGACACCTCTAAGCTCACGAGACAACCGCATGTGCGTGCGCTAATTAACGGGTCTCGCTACTAACAATAACAAATCAGAAAAATCGATATTTTTCGAGTTTTTCTGTCCATCCTGACTCAAAAACTATCAGAAAAGATAACTAAAGCATTTCTAGTTTATATATAACGGTTAAAATACGAAAGGATGAAAAATAACGAAGAAAATAACGAAATTCCAAAGGCGAGTTATATTTCCGGTTGTCATCACCTTGTAATTTGATATGATTTTGACAGCTGCACTGCGGTGTCAGGTTAACAGAAATATTTATTAATTTCCGGATTAAAACAGAAGCGATTGGGTTATAGTATTTTTCTCGAGCTATATTTTGGTGGTATCTATGTGTTTTTTGCTCGCGCATTCGCAGAGCTATTGGAATTTTAAAAAAGTCGGACTCTAACGTCCGAAATTAATCTACACCGGACGGGAATGATTAACAAGGTTGTTAACAATGCAACAGATAGAAAAGTTAAGAACAAAAAAACTTACAAAGAAAAGAATATCCCTGAGAATGCACCACTCATCACCGCTATAAATCCCAGCCATCCGGCGAATTTTTGACCGACACCAAATTCCTCTAAATTTTGATCCAAGACAGAGCACCATCCACTGTACACGCCACAGCTAACACCGTACAGCGAAGCTAGCAACAAAAAATTGAAATTCCTTAAAAGTTTCGACAAGCCATGCTTGAAGGCTTCACGTTCCGTTCCCGATGATCTGCTTGGCGGCTTTGCTGGCCGATCAGGGAAATGAAGAAATACGCAGAGAACTAAGATGCCCATAAAGCCAGCCTCCATGACGAAAACTGCGCTGACTTGACTAAAATACACCTTCTCTTGCTCCGGGGTTAAAATATATCTACCATCCTTGTTTGCGGTAACAGTTTCAGCGACGTCATCAATAAACATAGGACCAATCAGAAACGAGAGTGCTCCTCCCAAGAATGCACCAGCAACCACTATCGCAGTTGAAATTGTTCGTTGGTTGCTAGGAAACCATGTCGCTGACAACAGTACACCACCGGATAATGGTATAGGGGCGACCAAACCACTAATTGTCTGACCACAACATACAAGGATTGTGGCCATGAACCAATTATTGCCTGGCGGAAAGCATCTTATGAGTGAACCGATAAACTGTCCTGTAGCAGCAAGTAATACAGCGGTTCGTAAACCTGTGAAAACAAAATTGACCTGTGAGAAAATTCTCAAGATGTAATAGGATCCTGCAACAATTTTGTGAAATACATGTAATTTTACTTGGAATGGAGCTATTAATAAGACTAAACTAATGCATTCAAAATGTAGATGGAAAATTACATACATCATCACAATTAAATTACCATAATGTTATACGGTAACAGCATCAGGCTTAGAACATTGGGCCTTTTGATGATTACCCACCATCCCACAGCTCTAATGTGTATAGGTGGTCATACACTCAATAGAAGCAATGTATTGTTATGGCATTTTTGTACTGTGTACTGAACAGTGAACCCCACTCTTGATGCCAGTTTGCCCATGCAGATTTTAGGGGCATTATATAACCACTCAAATTGTTTTCCATCTTCGCTGGGAATATTCCCACCTCCTCTAAGAGGCAATTTAGACCTCCCAAGTGAAATTTATCAAATTAACCCTTGACAACTCTAATCATTAACCATCTTCAAAGATTTTGTGTTAAGACCCACTCTTAATAGGATAATTAGTGAAATATCTCAATCAATTTGCAGATCAGTAGAGTACAAAATTTCACAAAGGACTTCCCAGACTGTCATATCATAAGTCATCTGCTGTTTTCACTTTGTCCATAAAACTAGCGATTAAAGTAAAACAGAATAGCAATTACACATAATGCGATTATGCAAACATAACTTCGGGTCCTTTGCCAATTACCCACTAAGAGAAATAGGTACATACTCATGCACTAATAATGTGCATGGTCATGTACTCTATGGAAACAATTTTATTACAATATTTTTGTACTGTGTGCTGGTGAACAGCCCACTGCAATAATTGTGAAGAAAGATTTTTTTTTAATTGATGTTTGTATGCCCAGATTTTAGGGGGGTACCGGGGTAGTGCAAACATCCACCCAATTTTTTTTCCACCTCTCCTGGAAACATTCATATCTCCTTCAAGAGGTATACACCTCCTTAGTAAAAATTTTTTTATTAAAGGTTTATGACAAAGGTAGCATGAGAAGCCTCATGAATCATTCCACCTCCCCTACTTTTCCAACTTTACTAATATGTTAAGACCCATCTCTTCTTTAATTGAATAAGAGAAATATTTCAATCACTTTGCATGGCAGTATAGTACAAAATTTCCCAAAGGCTTTCCAACCCAGCCTTTCGCTATCATAAGGCTCAAGTTTTCACATTGTCCTTAAAATTAATTAGCAATTAAAGAAAAACAGCTGAATAACCAGAATGTATAAACATAAATTCACAGATATTATAATGTCAGCATATTAGTGCAACATTTCATGTTCTGGGTTATATATGGTCTGATTGCCTAACAATCCCAACTCTGCAAATATTTTTGTTGCAAGTCAGTGCACACTACCCATCATTACTCAGATCAGCTGTATAGATATACAGTGCCAGTGGCAGAATCAGGCATAAATTATACATAGAGTACAGATGGAAGTCACTTTTGTCCCAATTGTGTTTCCAACAGTGCATTGCAAGTCATTGCTTGCTACTGTCAAGAACTAATCGCTTCTATGGTTATGGCGATCCAATTTTGTCTGATCTAATCAATTCACTTCTGATGGATGTTTTATAGTCTGTTAACTTAATTGCAACGTACTGTATATCAGTATATATGCACAGAAATTGACAGAATCTAAAAAACAAACTGCATTTCAAACATCAGAAGTGAATTGGATCTGACAAAGTTGGATTGTGTGAACATGCCTTAACAGTTAATACCTTTAACATCCATCAGCCATCCGAGAGGTACAATAGTGAAGCATGGTGCGATGCATCCTAATGCTGGCATCAGATCGATCATAAAACTATCCCATTTATATACTGCTCTTGCCGTACTCTGAATCGGTGACCATGTGTTATACATGATACCTTGACCGACACAGAGCAAGAAAAACATAGCTAATATATACCAACGTTTGCTGTAAACCTTCACATTGCTGATGTCTTTGATAGTGAGTGATGATTCCTTAATCGAAGAATCAGAAAGGTTCAATAACCTTTCACGGTCATTGCTCGCTATCTCATGTGAAGACATATTTCTATACCAAAACATTAGCGAAGTATATTAAAGCAGTGTTTTCAAAGTGAACCATCCATACTTGATACAAGAATAAAACATTGTCTATATTTTTAAAATATTTAAATCGCAAGGTTAATGCTTTGTTTCATTGTTTTCTTTCTCCTGCGTGGGTACTTTATGTTACACTACAATAACGGGTCCAAAAAATTTAGTATTACGAGCAAGCACTCAGGAACGAAGCACTGAGGAGCGAAGCCGGTTTTCCACTAGGCGAAGTTTTCCACCGAACGAAATTTTCCGTCTGATATTCTTTTCAATTATGACCGGTGAAGGGAATCCGCTACTGTCGAATTCTCACAATTGAAAAGAATATCAGACGAAAAATTTTGTTCAGCCTATTTAGACTACACGATAACTTGTATGCAATTATCATTCTGACGAATGCAAGAGTGCCTATGAATTTAAAGTGTCACATTTCTACGTTTGTTCATACGTTTACATACGCCAGGGTACGAATCGTATATACGACAAATCGCATAGTGTGAGTTAGCCTGCGTGCAGCCCGACTTTCTAAAGTCGGGCTGCACGCAGGCTAAGTGTGAGTGGGCCTTAAGAAATATTCGCAGTACGAGGCAAATGGCAATATATATTCCACATAAAAATGGGTGACTCACGGCTCCACGCTATCACTGTAAATTTCAAAAATATATTTATTTATATATTTAATGGTTTTTTCCATCAATAACGGAAAAATACGAACATATATAATAGCAGGAGGAATTGATGCTAAATTTGCAATAGGAAACAGAGATGCTAAGACCTCCCGCCAAATAAAACCAGGTATAGATTTAAGATTGGGTCAACAAATGTATAAAGATTGACATTAATTTCTCTTGCTATCCATTATACCTCGAAGTGCCTTCGTGGCCTTCTATACACATTTACCTACATCCATATATGCTATCTATTAAATCCGGTTTAAAATTCCTCAAATGTCTCTTCAGGCTTTCCTCAAAATGTCTCTTTGAGAAACGTTTCGTTCTTTCGTCTTGTGCAATTATTGCAATTATAAATTCAGTGAAGTTTAAGATTTTCCTTGAAGAGAGAAACTCACCCTGCCAGCGGCGTTGCCAGGAATTTTTTGAAAGAGCGTAGAATGTATTAAGTCAGAACTGTTAATTTCTACCTTCATTGAAGCCTCAAATTGTCAACTCCCCCCTTTCAATTAAATTTAGACAAACATAAAACCAGTTGTTCAGTGAAGATTATTGGATGAGGTTTTCCCCCCTTTGTCGGCGCCACCACGCACTTCGATGAAGGTTTCATCGCCAGCATTCAGATAGGCACCCACTCCATGTATCGTTCCAGACCAGTAATCATTGTCACTCTTCGTCGATTGACTGCCTTTTTGAAAAAGACAATTCTATTCTCATTTCGGAAGCCATCGCGCAATCGCAAATGGAACTCATTTCCCAGTTCTTTGAAATTGGGCACCTTGGACTGCGTGGATGTGCAAGCTTCCTGTCTTTGGCGATAAATGTAAAATATAGCACGAAGATAATCGCGCAGTTCATGAGAATTATCCAAATATTCACTAAAGCTTGTTCCACCGTCGTTGGCTAGAGTTGGGTCTTTTGTATCCTGCAAAACAATCCTGCTGAGGTAAGCTACCTGCTCAAGGGTTACATCTGGTGACTTGCTCACATTTGCTTTTGGACAAAAGATGTGCCAATTCACGGAATCTGCTATCAACGTTGCGAAAGGATTTTCTCGATTTAGCATGCAAGAGTAAACGCTAAAAAATGAAAAATTAAAGATCATATAAATAAAAGCTCGGTAGGAGGAAACAGGGTTGCTTATCTAAGCTCCGTTTGCACTCCACTCAATTTATCAGCACGGCACGATGGGCGGTGACGGCTTCCATTTTAAATATCCCCTGCTAACACTAATAAAACAGGGGGTACCAATTTTAGTCGTGCCGTGCCAACAAATTAATTGCGTATATAGTGTAAACTAGGCTCTATATACTATACCGAGCTATTTCTACAGCTGCAGGGGGGGGGGTGTTGGGGTAGACGGTTTCCTTTTGAAAAAGCTTCCTCGCTGCTAATCCTAATATCTTTCTAGTTTCTAGCAACGGTCCTGAAAACCTAAAAATACAGTATAATATTTTCTGAATTTCATTAGAACACGAGCGTACTTCACCTCATTAAGTTTGGAAGAAGAATATAATCCATGAGATTAGAAGTCGAAATGCGATCGTATTTCTCTTCTTTGTTTAGAAATGCGTCTATATCCATGCAATTTCCCAAAATAATTTCAAATGTAACTTGTTTAGACTTGAGTATCTCCATAAAACTGCACAGCATAAACTCGATGTAGTTTCCGTACATTATAACAACGGAGCTTTCGTACATCATTTTCGCCACGTCGACATAATCCCAACCAGTAAATGGAAGGACACTGGTTAGACAGCAATACTTAAAGGGTTCGTCTTTGGATGAAAACGAAGCACCTGTCAGGGTCGGATTCTCAGCAAATGAACATCTCTTTGTACGTTTGAAGATGCCATCTTCCATAAACTTCTTGGCAGAAGGAAGATGCTCCTTAGGAATACAATTGTAATAACATCTTTTCCCACGAAAGCTGCTAGGATCTTTGCTAAATGCCTCTTGTCGTTGCTTTTGAATGTCGGATGTTCCTTCTACCCTCAGTTCAAGCCAATGCCTCCAAATCTCTTGAAACTCTTTAAAATGGCTTTCATGCACTTCGATCAATTCCCCTGTTGCGGCCTTCAAATCTCCAGCGCTTTTCAACCTGAGAAGTCCCTGGAGAGATGAAAATAGGTAGTCGTATGTTTTCTCGCTCAGGGACAGCGAGTACCAAATTTCTGTTACCACTTTACAAACACTTAAATCACCTGAAATTCAAAGATATTAAACAATTAATTATTGGATGAGGTTTTTGTGTTATGCAGAGTTATCAAGGTCGAGGTAAGCGTTATCAGGCCAGCCGAAGGCGAGTATAATAATTGTTTTATTATACATTTGAAAAACAGTAAACATAGTATTAACGAATGCAAAACCTTATTTAATAGCAACATCCAAAAATACATCAATTATTCATACATAAATACATTTAAATGAATACCGCTTGTTAACCACCGCAGGCTTACTTGCAGATAATTCAGTTATCTGCTAGCAGATAACTGAATTTTGCGTGATTGCGCGATTTATCTGTCAACTATTAGCCAATCATATTGCTTTTACTACTATCATGTATAACAATATACAAATAATAAATGTTTATGAGTGCAATGGTAAAAATATTTTCGAGGCGATAGCCGAGTTGAATGGAACATTCCATCTTTCACCAAGTGAAAATATTTTTACCATTGCACGAATGAAAACATTCATTATTTGTTTTATATATAATACCAAAATAGACTGTCTGGTTTCAAAAATATAATTTATTAAAAAACATACTGTATGGATCAACAACCATATGTGCGAGAAGCATTTTGATGGATGGTATTTACTAAAAGCATTGAGAGTGCAATGGAACAAAATGTATACAGGGTGTATCAAAAAAAGGAGACCTTTAGAAATCAAGCTATTGTTAAAATTTGAATGCCTTTTCAATTGCATTTGCACATATGCTGAACCGTAGTGCGTGAAATATTGATGGCATGCATGCATACATTAGAAAAAGGAGTCCTTTAGAAAATGAATTGACGTTTGTACACAAAATTTTCTGCTCCTGGGATTTGAAAATAACTTTAATAGCATAAGGAAAAATAACGACCCAAAAATATTCAAATAACTAAGCACAAATGACTAAGCACAAAAGCGATAACAGTATGTGTGGTAGATTGTTTTAGCTGTTCCTTCAAAACATGAACAAATATTTGCTCATTAATTTTTAACAGTGTGTGCGAGTATTAGGGCTGTTCACATGAGTTAGAATTGACTTTGAATCCGGAATGGCTCAGCATCCCATTTTACAAACCCTGGCTATTAAAATGTTTACATGAGTCAGGAATGAATTACAACTTGATCTGACACAGATCAGTCACTTGACATTTCGATCCGGATTGAAAATTACTGATAAATTGAACATCAAAAGAACTGAATGTCATAGACCATGACCTCCAACGTGGCCTCCATTTCTCTCAACACAAACTACCGTACACTTGCATATCGCGAACTGACAATCTTGTGTACAAACGTTAATTCATTTTCTAATGTATGCATGCATGCCATCAATATTTCACGCACTACGGTTTAGCATATGTGCAAATGCAATTGAAAAGGCATTCAAATTTTAACAATAGCTTGATTTCTAAAGGTCTCCTTTTTTTGATACACCCTGTACTACAATTGCAATGGGGTACAATTAAACGCTCTAAAATTAATGGGGTATTATCAGTGGGTATTATACAGGGTGTCCCAAAAAAAACGAAAACTATTGAAATCACCCATAACAATGCCATTGTTAGAGTTTGAATGCCTAAGCACTCTGTTGGGCCCACAAGTGTATAAACGGGGTTGCCATAAGCATTTTTATGCATGCATATGATGCAGTCAAATTTGCTTGTTCGCAAAAATGATATTTATTAACAATATTTACAATTTACAAATATGGATAACAATATTTAAATGTGCATCTCAAAAACCATGACCTTCAACATGTCCCCTTTCTCTAGCAACACAAAGCATTTAGCATTTTATAAGTTGCATTAAATCCCCACGGGCTGAAATTTGTGCACACAGCATTCAAATTTTAACAATGAGTGATTTCAATAGTTTTCGTTTTTTTTGGGACACCCTGTACAGGGTGTCCCAAAAAACCCGAAAACTATTGAAATCACTCATTGTTAAAATTTGAATGTTGTGTTCACGAATTTCAGCCCGTGGGGATTTAATGCAACTTATAAAATGCTAAATGCTTTGTGTTGCTAGAGAAAGGGGACATGTCGAAGGTCATGGTCCTTGAGATGCACATTTAAATAATGTTATCCATATTTGTAAATTGTAAATATTGTTAATGAATATCAGTTTTGCGAACAAGTAAATTTGACTGCATCATTTGTATGCATATAAAAATGCTTATGGCAACCCCGATTTATACACTTGTGGGCCCAACAGAGTGCTTAGGCATTCAAACTCTAACAATGGCATTGTTATGGGTGATTTCAATAGTTTTCGTTTTTTTTGGGACACCCTGTATAATCATAGGCAGCCCAGAAATCTGTTTATACTCAGTCTTCGACTGCATTGTTTACGCGCGCGGTCAGCTTCTCTTGCCTGTACTAATTACTGTATTATATATTAATAAGGTTGGCAACTTAATTTTCAAGCCAACACGTACCTTCAGGGAAATAGTAAAAAAACTTTGGAACTACACAGCAAGGAACACAAAAAAATACATAGAGGTAAACTAAGATACCTTTACTAAACTACTAGCCACTTTTTTTGTCGAAAAGGACACTGGAAGTGTCGAAAAATCTGCATATTTTTTACATATTTGTTGAATTTTTCGCCGTGACTATGCGGGATGCAAGTTGCCTGATACCGGCTTTCGGTTTGAATCACGAATGCATCATTTCATTGGCTTTTAGAAGTTCGTAAATTTTAAAAGCCAATGAAATGATACATTCGTGATTCAAACCGAAAGCCGGTATCAGGCAACTTGCATCCCGCATAGTCACGGCGAAAAATTCAACAAATATGTAAAAAATATGCAGATTTTTCGACACTTCCAGTGTCCTTTTCGACAAAAAAAGTGGCTAGTAGTTTAGTAAAGGTATCTTAGTTTACCTCTATGTATTTTTTTGTGTTCCTTGCTGTGTAGTTCCAAAGTTTTTTTACTATTTCCCTGAAGGTACGTGTTGGCTTGAAAATTAAGTTGCCAACCTTATTAATATATAATACAGTAATTAGTACAGGCAAGAGAAGCTGACCGCGCGCGTAAACAATGCAGTCGAAGACTGAGTATAAACAGATTTCTGGGCTGCCTATGGTATAATATCTATTATAAAGACCCTTTCCCGTATACTCCCAAAAGTTCTTTGAAACGAAATTTAAAATTTCGATGGCAAATATACATTGCAATGTACAGTGTTTGCCACTTGGGAGATTTAATAATAGAAATAAGGAAGTCCAATGCAATTATGGTCTTTGTAAGCTGAAATGCAAACACCGCCATTGAAATATGCGTGGCAAAGGCATCACCAACTTTAATGTCCACTCACCCGAAACAACTGGCGACAAAAGCATGTAATTTATCAACAGATTTAGAAACAAAGTCGTCTCAGTAGTAAAATGTATTTTACACACTTACATTTGATTATCATGTACATCAATAAAACCAATCTTGACAAGACACAACTATCTGAGTCATTTAATACAAACTTGACCTTGTTTGTGAAGCTCTTGGGTAACGACGCACAAGTGAGCACAATATTTCGTAAATCACCAACACCAAGAACTAGAACATTCATATTTGAATCATACTCGACACCTTCGTTCTCTAGTAAGTTAAGATAGTCATACGCCGGCACATTGCCCCAGTAATAATGCGCCAAAAATGGTCGCGATTCCCCAGTCGAAGGAAATTGACCTTGGAGTGAACGAGCTAGTGATTTGATTTTATCCAGGATACGCTTACATTCTACTTTGTGTCCGTGTCGATGATTCTTTTGACAATTCGCATTGCAGTAAAAGGCCCGATAACAAGCACTACATGTTTGTAGAGACGAGCCAGTCTTACGACATGATGAACAAGTTTTTATTATTGATATTGGCCGACACTCGGCGTCTTTGTGCCTCGCGATATCATTTTCTTTGCATTTCTTACAGCAGTATTTTGCAACGTTACAAGAAGGACACGCTACAGTGGCGGATGAGTTCCCACAACGCCAACATTCGGTAAATCTTGGCATCTTTTTAGTAAACGTTTAAAGGAGTATTTTACGAAATACTTTAGATTTGTCGACTACGCATACAATTATGTCTAGCCGGAAATCACAACAAGCAGGTGTCAATTTCACGAAGTTATTTCTATAGCAAAGATAATGTAAGGAATGAGATGAGAGAAAATAATAACGTATATTCTAAGCGAGGAAGTGCAATTCCCCCGAAAAAAACGGATATCGCAATCTCCATGCTTCTCTATTAAATTGTTTTGACTGGTGTGATATGCAAATAAAACAGATTGTTATATAGGTGTTGTATATTTTGATTGTGATTGTAACTGGTTCATTCGTGGTCACATGACTTTAAATAAATGCAATGTTTCCGGCCAGGGAAACACGTGAAAAATTGTTGTCCGCATATTGTCATAACAAAGTGTTTTTCAAATGAATTGTTGTGTAACATGTATCTTTAATGTTTTTGTTCCTATATAACAAAACACTTATTGCACACTATCTCGGGAAGTGAGTTTTGTTTTCTCAAGAGTCTAAACTCACTTTTTCCTCGGGAGCATACATTAAGGTAGCTCGCTACAGTTTTAAGAGTATTGAAAACTAATGATTTAGATTGAAATTTTTGGCGGGAAATTTCTTGCTAAACGAAATGAAATTTTCCAGATATATTAACCAACATTCTAACAGTCGAAAATTGTCTTTGAGTATCACGGCATTACCGTTGTTATGGTAACAATCGCGATTCAATATAGCCGTCATTTTACCTATTCACGCATTTTACTCGAAAACAAGTTCGGTTAGCCCCATTTTTTATTTTATGAAACTTTTTTTCACAAAAAATTGGGAAATTTGAGCAAGTTTAAAAAATTTCTATAACGAAAAATCACGTTTTTCAAATTTTAATAATTTTGGCTTTATAGAACTTTTTTTAACTTGTTCACATTTTCCATTTTTTTGTAAGAAAACTTTTTATAAAATAAAAAATTGGGGTAACCGAACTTGTTTTCGAGTAAAATGCGTGAATAGGTAAAATGTCGGCCATATTGAATCGCCATTGTTACCATAACAACGCTAATGACGTCATGCTTATGGGCAATTTCTGACTGTTAGAATGTTGGTTAGTATATCTGGGAATTTTTTTTTTCCTTAGCAAGAAATCTCGTGCCAAAATTTTAAATCAAAACCACAAGTTTTCAAAAATTTTAAAAATTGTAGGGAGCCACCTTAAGTGTATATTATTTTTCAGTCTTGACTTGCAACCACGCTATTGGGACACAGAAGACCACGCCGACTTGTGCTTTCAAAGGGAGTGATAAAATATTCTTTTGACTCGCTAGCCACCAGCAAAAAATTCTATGTACTTGTAGACGTCCTTACATTGTGACGTCGGACTCAACTGTCCCAGCCAACATATGGCTTTTCTTTTTTTTGTCTTGTCAGGATCTAAATTGTACCACGTATATTTTCTTTATTCTCTATCATGATTCGGGATTATAACTCACAAATTCCCACCTCAGCCTTTCAAAAAGACCACTAGTACTTCACTTGTCTACATTTGTTTTAGGAGTTTAAATTCTTTCTCAGCTAACTGATCGAGTGACTTTTAAAAGTGGTTCCCTCATTCTAAATTGCGACTCCTGTGTAAATACTTCACCAATTTTGATAAAAATTATACCATCTCAAAGGGGAAATTGTCCTCAACAGATAGATGTTTTTTGTTCTATATGTTGCAAATTCGCTAAGATGTTTATTTTAAAGGGGAGGTGAATACTCACATGCCGATAGTGACGAAAGATGCCGATAGTGACGTTATACTGGTTGTACATGAGCATGTCACGTGAACATTTTCAATAGGGTGTGTGCAATAGGGTTCAGATCACGTGCACATAATGCGCAAGTTAAAATTGCGTAATATTGTGTGAATGAGGCAAACATTGCATTGTGTATGGGTTGTGTGGGATTTTGCATGTTTATTTCGATTTTTCGTTCATATTCTTTTATAAATTTGATTGTTCTTAAAAGAACCGGGTTTTTTTGTCTTTAGCATTGTTTTTCTAACCACGCAGCATAAGCTTCAACTTCTACTTTTGCGCAATGAATATGGGCCATAGCAATGGGCCTTCAATTGAGTCGAGCATATAAAAAAGATTATCTGATTTAGGGCATCCAAGAACTTCCAAGTTTATACTTGGTATATTGAGTCCTTTTAGCGAATCTCTTTCTATGACTATATTCGAATTCCCTCCTTTATATGCGAGACATGAAAGATCATTTTGTTTGTTTATTTCGTAAAATTCTTTCACATTATCTTCTAATTTGGAGAGCGGCAAAGCGTTTGTATCCTTTCGAACACAAATTGGTAGCTTATGAATATTCCTACGAAAGTAGGAACATGTTTTCCGCTCTGTTATCGATAAGTTCCACCATTTGAGGCCAGTATAAAAAACCACGATAACGCCTTGGCATCTCTCCACGTTTTAATATCCCCAGTTTCTTAATCGGAGAGCTTAATCAATGCAAATACGTTATTGATAGAAATTAAACGATCTTAGCATTGCTGGGATACGTAGGTCTGAAGGTTGAGCATGCAGTTCTATACATATATACACAGTTCAAGATAGGAACGATACGATCAAAGAACGATGATTGGAATTAATGTACTTGATTTACATGCGGGTACTTTGAGCATTAAACAAGGAATACGACTATGTTTCAAAAGTGGTACTGTCATGCTACGGCAGCTGATTCATAGCGAATTTGCACATGAAAATTGCCAGCCGGCTTACTAGATTAAGGCTTTTCTTGCTATTCTTCGAATTCCTTCGTCATTTATTTTGGGTACATTTCGAGAAAATACCTAAATTCTAATTTTGCACTCGATTTTGGCAAAAGGCTCATCGTTATAGTAAATTTTCTATAAAATGTAAGATGGAAATTAGGGATTCTGTGGATTTTAATCTTTGTAGAATACGCGTGCATCTACAGGGCCTACGCTGGAAGAACCATATCCTCAAAAAGAAGAGTAAGTTAAATTCCCTATAAAATATTACCTAATTTGTTCAGCGTTTTTAATTCTATATGTTTACATTGCAAGTGTGTTTGCATGTGTTCTTTGCTGCTTTCGCTTTCGAACAGCAGCGACTGATTGACCAAAATATTTGCTGATGCAAACAATAGTACAAAAATATCAAGTTGAGATTCGCGGGCTCACTGGCCAAAATATTTGGTGATGCAGACAATAGTACAAAAATACCAAGTTGAGATTATAAAACACGAACCACTGGTTTCGAAAGGAGTCGTCGGGGAAGGGGATCGATGGTGAGCGAGAAGAAAGGAGGAAGGAGAGACGGAATATTCAATTAGGTTCAAAATGCAAGTTTGGCTTGCTTATTATGTAAATCCTGCTTCTTATTCGCTAGAATTATTACGAACCAGTGGGTTTTTCCACCGGTAGATTTGCCGCGTTGCATGTTCGAAAAGCTATTCACTTTCGACAGAGATGCTAATAATTGAAAGATACTAATATTTGAAAGGGCTTCAAAGAAAATCAATGGTTCGCCTGAAGAATTTACCGCGGTTGAAAACGTGTCAGTGGTAGTTACCATGGCTACTTGGAATAACACAGTATCTGGCGAAATATCGGCCTTGTTTCGTGTTTCAATTTTTGGCGGCTACCACTATACCACTGAAATTATAACATAGCTCAGTCGGGTTGAAAAAGGCGTTTCATCATAATATGAAGCAGGCCTAGGTACGTTTCATCAAACATCGTGTATAGCCAAAGTTTGGGTAGCAAAAACCTCCCCATAAAATTCTTGAACGCAATAAAAAGGAAACGTGTCAATAAGCAGGATTTTTTTACTTTAGAAAAAGATACATTTAACAACTATATAATATATAGGTAATCATGCGATGGCAAGTATAGTTATTTATCATGAGTATTGTTAACCCCTATAAAATTAATTTTGCAAATCGAAAACACTAGTTCATATTCATTAAAGGCATAGCCTAGACGAACCGAAATGTCATTAGATACTCAGAGAGCACAATCATGGTATTAATTTTCAAAAAATATAGAGAAGTTCAAACTTCAAAATGCAAACAAGCGTTTGTTACCATGCGGGCGTACTTCCAATTCAAAATTTTACTAGACTATGCGCTTTATCCTGATCTTTAGGGACTTAGTTTTTAATGCAAGCATTATAGTTTCTAGTCAAAAAATAGTTCTGGTAGATGCAATAAAATGAAATATTTTGTACTTTTACCAGTATTTTCGTTTGCATTTTTGCATGGCCCTTTTAATCTTGATTATTTTAAAACTGAATATGTCGGCAGCTTTCATTATAAACTTATACTATAGGTCTCAATGAAGTAATTATATATAGTAGTTAATGAATATATAGCAGCTGATTAATATATTATTTCCCATTACGATTATGACTAATTATGATTTTGTTTTATTAAATGTTTGTTACAACACGCCTGTTGAACTATAAGGCTACTTGATCATGACGTGCATACCAAATCGGCGAATGGACCTTTTATAATTATGTCCCTAAATTCTTCCTGCATGTGTTTCATCTAATTACCACCATGTTCCGTACAATTGTTTAAGTACGGTTTTTGAAAAAAACATGCTTCAAGGCATCTTTAGTATACGGTCGGTGATCAATATTATGATTGATCAGCCAGTAAATGAACTGTTGAG